CTCATATAAGAAGATAGTATTAATACTTATTAATTTTTACTACCTCTTCATCTATTATTTATATTTCTAAATAACATGCTTAAATATTTTCATATAAGCTCCTCTATAATATAATTTTTTTTCCTTCACCTAATGGCTATGCTACAATACAACAATAGTTGCTTATAACTTGAAGTTTTTGATAGTTGTGTAGCTTGAAGTTCAAATCTTCATATATTTTTAATATTATAAAAAAATAAAAGATCATTCTATATATTTTTTATCTATAAATCTTAATCTTTATAGTAAAGGGATTTTGTTCAAAAAAATCTCCATTTAAAAGATGATTATCATGGCATTTTTAGTCTTGTAGAGTTTATAGCCTTTGTTCACAAAGCTATTTTTCAACATAATACACTTATAAGATCAATCATTTAATTCATCTAAAAATTTATTAGAAACTTAAGTATGTGCTTTGCTATCAATTTTACATAAATAAAAGATATTTGATTTATGCTTATACCAAAATTTAAAAGGTATCTTATTATGTGGAATTATCTTAGTTTGACATTGATTCTAGAAATATATAGCGAATTTCATTGCATCCTTCCAAAAATATTAGCAATTTGTACTAAATGAATCATACAATGAATAGTATGAAATTGTATATTATTTTTTTTGCTTTACAATTCCATTTTATGGAAATTTTTATGTTATTTTTTTATTGTGTTAGGGTATGGACTTTTAAATATTAGTCAAATTTTGATGATATGTTTTTTTTAAAAAAATTAGGAAAAATTAATTTTTGGTTTATTTAATTATCAATTCAAATATAAAATATTTTAAAAACTTCAAAGCATTCACTTTTCTTTCTTATTAATTAGAAAATTGCATATTTTGAATAATTTTCTATAAATGTGATATAATATTTAAAGCCAAAAAATGACGGATTTACAACTTTGCTATTAAAATCAACATAAATCCATTCTAATAAGCATTGTTGTATTGTAACTTGGCCATTTGATAAAAGAAAAAATGAAGGATTGTATTATAGAGGAGTTTAAATTAAAATATTATAAAAAATTATCATATAAATATAGATAATAGATAAAGAGGTAATAAAAATTAATAAATGCTAATTTTATATTTTTTTTAAAAAACTCTACTTACTTTCTAAAATAAAAAATGAGACAAATTAAATTAGATTAAAAAAAAGTAAATAATATAAGTACCTTTAGAAAATAATTAGATTCTTTTATAGCAAAAATTATCTTAAAAAACTAAGAATTAATTTGCAAAGAAGACCAATTGTGAACTAGGATCAAATCACACCTTGATATACAAAACCGTGCACCAAAAATATTTTAAGGATTATTTGATTAATCAAAAAATAAATTTTGATAGAAAAATAAAGAAATGTTATTTTAGTATCAATTTTGAGTGATTTGAGATTTTATTGACTTTATAAAGGCTTTGCAAAGTTAAGGTTGTTTGTAGTGACTTTGAATTTATGAGAAATATAAAGAACTTATGCTTTAAAGAATTGTGTGAGATTGATACATGATTTATGGGTGATAATTTATGATTGTGTAATCAGTGTCGTATCAAATATGTGTTATAAGTTTAAGCTTGATATAATATTTTATTGGTTATTCTAAAGATTATTGAAATTCAAACATATTAGGATCTTGAGAGTTGGAGTTTAAAGGATCAATGAGGGTTTTTAAAATTTTCAATAATCTACCAATTTGATTGAATTAAAAAATTTCATAATAGTACTAGACTTGATTTTTAAAATCTATGCAATATTTAAAAGTCATTAAATAGTGAATTTAATAAAACATTATCATTGAAAGATTGATATCAAGGTTGAAGAAGGAGGCTGGCTAATATCTAAGGAAAATTTAGGATTTATCTTCTATTTGGTATATTTAATCTTATTAAAAATATTATACTTCTTATAAATTTAGTAATTAAGAGATATATAAATTTTGAATCAAAATCTATAATTAAATTATTGATTATTAAATTTTTAATCTACAATAGGATTGAATAAGAATTTATTTAAGATTTAAGGTTTAATTAGGATTTCATTAAAATTTGATTTAAGATTTAAGATTTTATAAGGATTTGATTAGAATTTATTTTAGAGATTTTTCTATTATTAAGGTTTGATTTAGGATTTAGAATTTGATTAGGATTTATTTTAAGATTAAGATTTCATTATAATTTCATTAAGATTTGATTAAAGTTTATTTAAGATTTATATAAGATTTATTTAGATTTTTGATTTTTAATATTTTTAAAGGTATTTATTTCAATATTCTTTTAAGATTCTTTTATTATTTTTTTAAGATTTTTGTAAAATTCTATATGATTTTTTTATGTTTCTTTTATAAATTTTTTTAGATTCTAATTGGATTTGATCAAGATTTGATTAGGATTATTAAGGTTCAATTGGAATTTATTTAAGATTCTATTAGACTTGTTGAGACTTTGTTGTTGTAATTTCTATTTTACCTTCTATAGTCAAGTATCCAATACAATCTTCAAGAAGACTTTAAGTAATACAATAGCATATTGCTTGACAAGTTGTAACTTTGACAAATTTTGTTGTTGATTGCTTGCTATGAAGGTAGATAGAACAAGTATGTTGGGAAACTTTCTTTATTGTAATTCTTATTACCACTTCTTATTTAATGAGTTACTTAAGTCAATTAGCACTAATATGTCCTACATATTTATGCCAAAGGTGCTCAATTTTTTAATAGACGTTGAGATTGGCCTATGTGGATGGAAAAATATTTGCTTGAACTATATTCAAAGTGACATAGATAGAATAGTTTAACTACATAATTGTAAGGTAGGCATGATTAATGATAAATTCATATTTTATAAGCTTTGACATTGTTGGGAAGTTTGTTGTTGGTCTAAAATACTAAAAAGCTTCTTATTGTCAAGATCTTTGTTGATTATGTATGTCTTAGTTAGTTTCTATTCTCTTCTTAGCATTAGTTTGTAATAAGTTATCAACGAAATCCTCACTTGCACCTAATCTGACCTACTTCACTTTGAACTTATATAATTCAATGTAAAATCAATGGAATAATTTGAAACCTTTTGTAATATATAATATAGCTCATTCCCTCTTTAAATTTTAATTTTTGAAGTAATTTGTGACCTAAATCATTTTTAGCAAACAAAATCCTTAAGCTAATGTTTTGGTCACTATGTTTTCCTTACAATCCTACACCTAATTACTCTTATGTACATAACTCTTAAACCAAATATCACAATGTCTTGAAACTTGGTGATTAAATTTTTGACTAAACAAAAAAACTACATTCTAAGTCTCATAACCATAGATCTTATAAATACCAAGTTATGACCCCTCAAAGTTGTGCTTTTGACTTGCAAACTTGTTAGACCTCCTTTGCTTTAGTACTTCGTTTTTCCTTAACCTAGTTAGTTTTTGCTCTCAAATGTTGCACACAAGTAGATAAACTTGTTCTAAATATTGTCTTAAAAGCTTGCTCTTATCAAAGACTCCAATCAATGACAATGGGCTCCAACCCATGATCCAAAATTTGCCCTCTTTATTAACTAAAACAAATTATAAAATAATAATAACCTTATGCCTCTCTTTACTTCCTTAAGTCACCTTGACATACCTCAAAAATATCCCCAAGAGGATTCTAAGATGAAAATCCACCACATGCAATCTATCTTATCCTTATCATAATTCTCTGTTAACAAACAAATAAGTACATGAACTAAAATAACATCCCAATAACATCAATCTGATTGTATACTTAAAGTGGAGATAATACACATAAATGCCTATAATTTAATCATTAAATAGCCCACATCACAACATGTAAGAATATAGAATTATCTACATTATCTCAAAAAATTACAAACACAATGTGATCTTTTTTTTCCATGCAATTATAGTTGCATGGTTCATTGATGGTGCCTAGATGTTGTATTTAAATCTAGAACTAGCACTAACTCTATATCTAAGCCTAAAACTAGCTCCCATATTTCTTCTATTTCAAACCTCATCTGTCTTTTTTGTCTTCAAACAATATACTATGAGTCATCAAACTTTAATTATTCCTTAATGGTGAGGCTATTCATAGCCATGTTGATACTATAGTTTACATATTTGTTTGCATGTAAAAATATTCTATTCTTTTTACTATTTTTAGAATTTTTTGTATATTTTTCAAATTTTTTTCATAAAAATTACAAAATATTAGTAGGATTGATACTACCTTCTTTTTGTAGATTTGTATGGCATTTATATGCAATAGAGTGATTAAAGAAGAGATTTTAGTAAAGGACCTATTAATGCCCTAGTTTCTGTGCATAACATCTTTAACACAACTTTCCTCATTTGAGAGACTTTCCTCATTTGAAAGACTTTCCTCTCTTTAATGTATCCCTAAAACTACTCTAAAAGGTTTTTAAAGCTATAGAAACTCTAATACCATACAAGAAATATGACAAGTTAGAGCGTCCTCAAAGTTTGGCAAAAATATAAGCCATAGATAGATCAAAAATTCTAGAAAATTTATAGAGAGCATTGTAAGACTTGACAAAACATATGGTGAATAGGAGGTATAATCCTATAAGACTTACATCTACTTAGTAGGTGTGACTACAATAAACAGCAAATTTCTTTCTTTGAACTAGTTTAACACCAATTGTAAAACTAGGAGATTATATTTATGTTTTAACTAAAATTAGACATAAAGTCTATATTTCAAGAATGTGCTCTTTAATACTTCATTGTCTAGCCCCTCGAAACTGCAATACCAAAGAACAAGCTACACATTTCTTTACATTCCGTTACACAATCCGACATCCAATCTTCACATTAGGTTGAAGAAATGATATTCATCAAGAAATGCAACTCTCGTCTCAGGACAATAACCACTCAAGCGCCACAATCAGTATCTCAAGTGCAAAGCACTTGGCACCAGGGTTGCAACAAAATCTATTCTTGGTCGCATGGCAAAAAGGTGAACAAACAGCGCAATAGCCATAATTTACAAGTGAATAATAGATGATGCCATATACATAAAGCTACAGCCTACAATATGCTAGCAACCTCCATGTCCCGTTTACTGAAATCCCATTATAATCCTCCAACAAATTCCTATTAGTGATATGTACCAATGCAGTGACTGCATTCAGTTGCAAACATTCTATTTCTCTAGAATGTTTAATCGATACACATTGCTCTACAGCATACTTGGTTACAGCTTCCCAAGACTCCATTGTTGAGCCCTGGCCAACAGATATACAGTTGACCCTAGTTTGGGAGCGAGCATAATTCAATCTGCTTGTTGGGTGCCTAAAAACTGGCTTGAGCCACGAACCATTGAACAACCTTCGGATCACCATTGCAATGGCTCCCTTTAAGCACATTTCAATCCTGTTTCTTACAGTTCTTTCTACCAGTGCAAGCTGTTGACAGTCCTTGCAGTTGTTCCATATTCAGGTGCCACAAACTGCAGAAACATACATATGTCATCTGTATAATGAAAACCAATTAGGCAATCGTGTGAACAAAATAGATAACGCTGACCAGCATTAACGAATCACCGCCTCTGAAATTGCCTGTACATCATGCCAGTAAGCCGGTGACGATGCCGATGTTGTGAACCAGCTTTCCATGAAACGGGGTCAGCAATAATAATCGTCGGCAACACCATCCACACGCATGTCCATACTGGAATCATTTTCATTAAGCGTATGCGAACCATCCCGCATATGTTGGACATGATGCTGATGATGTTGGTGGGATTGCTGATCCTGGTGATGCTGAGTTTGAAAGCCAAAACTAGTAGTAGACACGTCCTCATATGTGGCCGACTCCAGACGGTCTTCTCGCAAATCAACAGCTGGTTGGTCTAAGCTCAGACTGCCCCTTCTGACAGGTTGCACGGAGGTGTTGTGCACACCATAGCTACTTGGTGCCATTGCAAATGCAGTAAGGCATCGCCTATTGGGACTGGAGAGAGCACCTTGAAAGACTGATATCTTACCCTGGTCGAGGGGTGTAGACAATGCAGATGATCGCCCAGAAGTTCCCACACTACCGACGACGCTAGGCTGCATCTGCTGCTGCTGCAACTGATGCCCTGGAGACATTGTCATCTCGTCTACATTGCCAACTTCAAGTTCGCTCTGCACATGAAAACGCAACAAGCAGCAATGACTAACCAATGAAACGGAAGCCGGAAATCGTTGAAACAATGATTCAAATTATACTTCAACAGCACAAGCTGAACTCCTAACAAACTAGAATTGCATTGAAGATTCAGGTACTTCACACAAACATCCATGAGGAAAAGGACATACCTGAAGATTTTGAATAACTTGTGCTACGGTTATATTGGACCCACTTTGGTGCTCCCGTAGCAACCAATGATACAGCTTCTCCTGTTGCACAAACCAGACTAACTTAAGTCAATGAAGAAATACAATTATCTCCACGATCTGAGATGAACGTTGATATATTACCGTTCAGGGAAAGTGAGCAAGTCGCCTAAGGATTCTGAAGGTCATGGAGCTAATTAGGAGATTTTCTGCAGAATATTTCTAAAACAATCGACAACGAAAACAACATACAACTCCAATATGAACAAACTATAATCATACCAGACGTCCTAAAGGATTTTAAAGACGATGGCATTATCTTTCATGAAGCTGAGGTTGTCGGCATGGTTTTGCATGATGAAGTCATCAACTCGAGATGTTCAAGAATCCGCACTCTGATGTCTATCACATGATGCAAATGCTAACAAAATAACAATTCAGTACAGGAAACATGTTCCATAGCTTTCTAGGTCAGACATCGACTAGGGAAGGGGGGGAGGGGGAGGCCGTGGGGGCGGGCGAGCAGGCGGGCGGGTGCATAGATAGTTAAACTTGGCTACTAACCTAGTGGAAGCTAAATTGCCAAAGCACCTCCTGCTTAAAAACACAGAGCATAGTGCACCAACTATATCCATGAGCTCGCATAAGTAACTAAGCTCATAAATCACACAATTGTCATTTAATAGCTAAACCCTCAAACCATTTTCCCAAGACAAAGCGATGAAAAGTGAGAATTAACAAGTTGCGAATAGATTCAACTCAAACAAGACTCTGTGTAATATTTTATAGCATGCTTACCACTGCGTGTCTTTCGCCTGCTTGAAAAGACAGCTTCTGCTGATTCTGAGCCTGAGTGTAAAAGTGGGAAATAGAATTTGCAGTAGTGCAAAACGAAGTATAAAGAGTCCTCTCCATCTCGTCAAGTGCTGCATTCTCGGACTTCCTCTTCTTCGCCATTCTGCCGCGGAAAGGTCTATCTGCAACTCAACATGCCCGAACTTTAGAAGAAAATTACATTAGGGAAACAAGTGCCTAATTCATAATTGAGATCAGCAGCTAACATCATGAAAATGCTAAGCTTGCAATAGCTTCAAAGCATAAGGCACTGAACATATTTAGACGCAAGCATCTCATGATAGAAACGAAGAGCATCCTCGAACTCTGAACGTTAACATTAGGAAACCAGAGAGTCACAGATACTCAAAAACTAAAAAATAAAATAAAAAGAAGAAAGAAATAAAAAGAGACATACAAGAACTACAAGCTATGAATTTAGATGATCCTGAACAGCGACTCAATGCAATCACAAACACACAGCTTCATGGCTAACTGCTAACTCAAGCAGCAATATATAATCCACCAAAGAGAGACCAAGATCATACTCTTTAATCCGAAACATCCAGATTAGAATACCTCACAAAATCCTCGTTCTGAAAAGAAATCGAAGGGTCCCGAGAGGTACAAAAATAGGCCCGAATCACCACTGCAGCAAATCAAACACAACTTCACACTCTCGCTAAATCCAGCACGTTAACTCTCAAGCACGCACGTCACCCATTTCTTCGCCACGCCCAAAACTTACAGCACACCTGATAATCACGTAAGACCATCACATCCCCATCCTCAATGAATGCACCACCGCCTAAGCCCAAGCTCAATTCAACTCTACCGAATCGCCAGCAATCACTCCACCTCCACCACCACGGCGGCAATCTTCCTACAAGACCTCCCTCTAATCCCATCCGCAGACCACAAGCCCTAATCCTGGGGTTTCTACACAGTTCGAGACACCTTACACAATACACCATGCCATCTCCTAATCACCATAACATCACCATCCATAAAAGAAAAAGAACTCCGCAACACCAACACAAAACACACACACAAGAAAAGAAAAGAAAAATAATATAAAATAAAATAAAATAAAAACACGCAGCAGACGAGACGAGAAAGTAGACGCTTACTTGCGGAGAAAAGTAGAGGAAGAGAGAGAGAAACGCGAAGGGGGAAGAGGAGGAGGAGAAACAATGGGTAGCAGTGGGATTGCATGGAAGTGTGCCCAGTAGCGAATCAGCTTCGAACTTTATGAAAGTTGGTTTCTGAACTTGGCTTACTCCCCTTCTTCTCTTTGTCTTGTTTGCTGGCTTCTTTGCTTGCTTGCTTGTAGGAGGCAGACAACTCTAGGCCTACCAGGCCGGACGCTAGCTTCCCCTACAAGCATTAGCCCCCCCTCCTATGCCCAAGCACAAGCACTGGTGCCCTTGCACGTTGGACATTGCTGTGGTGTTGTGTTGTTGAATGTGTGTGGTTTGATGCTCCAGCCAAGGTTTGATGCTTTGCACCAATTTTCATGTTTAAATAATCTCCAGAATACTTTTTAGACCATCACGTACCACAATCCTTTTTTTTTAATATCGCTTGCTTGGTACCACTGGATTGTTGAATCTGTGTAAGAGCCATGCAAAGATTGTTTATCAGTGTGGAGCTTGATTGTGCTTTCTAACATGCCCTTGATAGTCTTTAAAATTGCCTCTAGACTCTTCAGAAATAGTCCCATGACACATGAAACAAAATTCCATTATTGTATTTAAGAGATGTAAACCAAATCTCACTTTATGAGCATCCCAACAAAAAATAAAAATAAAAAAAATTGAAGGTTTTTAGAATTTTATATTTTTTACATTACAATCTAAATACAACTCCATGATAATAGAATATAAAGATAGATAGATAGATAGATAGATATAGTATTACCTCTCACAAGCTATCTCTCAATATGTTATAACCTCCAATAAGTTTTGAAAAATTGAGGAACTGACTTGATTACCTTGTAGTTAAGTTATAATTCTCATAAGTTATCAATTATAGCAAGGGAGGGAAAAAACAAAAGGCTATAACTTTGTGGAAGGTGTAAATAGTAAGAAATAGTAAATAGTAAGAAATCTAGTATGCTCTACTAAAAGACTTTTATATGTAGCTTCTATTGAATGATGCAAAGGATCTTGTATATAGTAGATTCACCAACATCTCCAATGTCCAAATAGAAATAACCATGAAAAGGCTCCACACCTTCTCCATGCGCATGAACAATGCTAGCATATAAGTCTTCTTCAAGGATGTTGTCATCACCTTCACCACCCTCTACTTCTTGATGATGAACAAGCTTAATAATTTTGATATCATCTAGCTCAATATGTGCACCATTTTCTTCAATTGAGTTGGGCAAGTTTTTAATTGATATTAGATTCTATAATGGAAGATCTTGAATTATGCCTACTAACTCTTCTTCAATTCTTTATTCACTGTTGATTTTTGCAACTTTGGATGCTTGCTCAAACAATTTAGTATGTTGAAAACAATTTTATATTATTTTTGGAGATATTTTTGCCCAAGCTACAAGTGACCACCACATTGCCATCAATTGATCAACCTTAAATAAATTGATCTCATTTTTCTCTCAAATAGAAGCATCAATGGTGTTGCTTGAATGCCACAATGATTCCAACATCCATTGGCTAAATTTGTTAGGAACATAATCCTTAGAACCTTCTAGAGACAAGTTTCTAGAACCTTCTAGAAGCAAGTCTCTGGAACCTTCTAGAAGCTTTTTAATTGGTAGAAGATGTTAGAGACATAGTCCTTAGAACCTTCTAGAGATAAGTTTCTAGAACCTTCTAGAAGCAAGTCTCTGGAACCTTCTAGAAGCTTCTTAGTTGGTAGAAGTTGCTTGAGAAGCTTCCTAAATAGGAGTATATATTGGAATCGAGGCTGAAGAGTTCTTCAGTCTCGACAACACATCTCTTGGAGCTCTACCTCACCTCTCCGGTGTTGTTCTTGTATTCATCTTATTAATCTAGTTCTTGCCAATTCTTCTTGAACTTCTTGTTAGATCTCGAGTCTGTATTTCTGTGTCCATGACAATTTGTCAAGACTAAACTCACCTCAGATATTAGAGCTAGTTTCTTCCTCATTAGAGTGTGGATTACCCCTCTGCTTGAAGGTGTACTAGCATTTTAGAGGTTGCGGATTACCCTCCTCTAAACTGATACTTCTTTTGTTACAATATTGGAGTCTTATTCTTCTTGGAGAGAGTGGATTACCCCTTTTTTTGAAGCTCTTAAGGCGTTTTAGAGGTTGCGGAGTATCCTCTTCTAAACCAATATTGTCTTCTTGTAGAGTCATTTCTGTCCTTCTCTTAGAATGGCTGGAGGCCAAGACATTAGTATGACGAAAAGTTTGGAGTCCAAGTTGGATGCTATCATGAATGCCCTCGATATGTTATTGCAAAGAACTGCAGAAATTGAAGGAGTCATGGCAAGGCTTCATAATGATGGAGCATCTAGGATGGCACAATCTAGGTTGCACCATCCTCAAACTTCTACACTTGGAGAAGCAACTTTGCCTCAAGTTCGACAAGCACCGTTAATTCTACAACATAAGGAGCCCCGAGTTAGCCTTCTAGACAAGTTCAATGGTATGTGTTCCAAGTTTCGAGGATTTGTCAATCATATCAGGTTGATAACAGTTTTACAGCCCGAACGTTATTCAACGGAGGAGTCACGTGTTGGGCTTGTTGGAACCTTACTTACAGAGCAAGCTCTATCATGATTTGCTCCTTTGTTTGAGAAACGATCGTCCATACTAAACAACTTTGAAACCTTCTTGGATGCGTTTGCGGAAGCGTTTGGTGAATAAGACAAGGTTCGATGGGCTACAACAAAGATCTGGTCACTACGACAAAGGATGCACTCTACATCAGTCTATGCATCGGACTTCAGGCAATTAGCATGCAACATCAATTGGGATGAAGAAGCGTTGATGAGTCAATTCTATTGGGGTTTAAGAGACGATGTGAAGGATTTGTTGTTAACTCTTCCTGATCCGCAAACACTCAACGAAGCTATTAGCCAAGCTATGAAGTGTGATAACCGCCTATTCCAACGCCGCCAAGACCAACGTTCAAGACAACATACGATTTGCCACGCCCCAACTATGTCGGCAAGCAGCATGAATTCACACTCAGAGTTAGAAGACATGCAAATTGATGCGGTATGTGTCAAATTCCTTACTCTAGAAGAAAAAAAGCGACGTATGGAGGAAGGTCTATACTTGTATTGTAGTGAAGAAAGCCACAAAGTTGGAAACTGCCCCAAGAAGCAAAATCAACATATTGTCAAGACTAGGGGCGCGTTTGTTCAGGAAAACGAGGATGCCCAGCCACAATAGGAACCATGCGGCTGGACAATGAATTATCGCAACAACAACTAGGTTCCTTTCTTTCCGCTCAACCTGCCCTTTGCTTTACAATCCCTTTGCTTATTGGCCCTCAGAAACTGAGAACCTTAGCATTATTAGATTCAAGAACATCTGCTTGTTTCTTAGACGAAGAATTTGTGAAGCATCATAAGATCCCTTTAGTACAAAAATCCAAACCTGTTCACATTGAGGTCATAGATTGTCACGGACATACATATAATTACCTATATGAATAGATAAAAGTATGTAAAAGTAGGTTAATTGTGTAATATCTTCTAGAGAAGCTTCTTAGAAGCTTCATAGACGCTGCTTTGACTTTATAGGAGTCTATAGTTGACTTTTAAGTTAGAAACTTGGTCAACAAGTTAGCCATGTGCCACGCATGTTGGAAGCTTAAAGAACAAGCTAACTACGTGGTCTATCCATAGAAAACTTGCCTTACAAGCAAAGGCATGTGGCCTAGAAAGTCAACATATATTGGAGGTCTTATAGAACATCGCCACGTGGCTTCTAGTTAGATAGTATATATAGAGGCAAGAGTGAAGCCCTCTTCACTCTTGTCAACTCCTTTCTTGCTTCTAGTCTAGTTTCAAGGGTCTCTAGTTTTCTTGTATTTTGGCAATAGCCATTCCAGTTTCTTTCTTAATATACATATTTCTATTTTGTCCTATTTCTTTTTGAGAAAAGTCTCACTTACTCTTTAGCTTTCATCGAGTTCTTGTCCCTGACAGATTGACAAGAGTACACTTACAATATCAGAGCTTTGTCTTTTCTTGATTAAGAGTGGATTACCCCTTTTTCTTGATAAGACATAAGCGCATTAGAAGTTGCGGATTACCCTCTTTTAAACTGATATTGTTCTTAGTATTTTCTTTGTTATCAATTCCTCTCTTCTATTTGTTTTGAGCGTTGTTAGACATCTTCTCTTTTCTAAGTGCTACTATGGCAGAGCTTGTTGAAATGAAGAGTGCAATGGCACAGATGCAAGAACAATTGAGGGAGTTAATGCTTGCGATGCATCAACTCAATTTACCACCACAAGGAGCAAAAAGAATGGTAGGAAGTGAAGATATAGAGATGATTGGGGCTGCTTCAACATCTGCACCAAACCATGTCCCTTCTCCCAGAATGGAACACCCTTCGAGTGTTAGAGAACCGAGAGTTGCCTTGCCCGAGAAGTTTGATGGTACCAGATCCAAGTTTCGAGGATTCATCAATCAGGTCCAACTAGTGATTGAACTTCAACCCCAGAGCTATCCAACTCCAGGGTCACAAGTAAGATTCATTGGTACACTTCTTTCAGGTTCAGCATTGTCATGGTTTTCATCTTTTCTTGAACGACGAGATCCAATATTGGATAATCTGGAGGCTTTTTTGGCGGAGTTTCGATCCATGTTTGGAGAACATGATGTAATTCGTGTTGCAACCAACAAGATCCGTATTTTGCGACAAGGCAATCGATCAGTAACATTATATGCTTCGTAATTTCGACAACTTGCAACTGATATCAAGTGGGATGATGCCGCACTTGTGAGTCAATTTCTCTACGGATTACAATATGAGGTAAAGAAATTGATGCTTAATTTACCTGATCCTCAAACATTGAGTCAAGCAATTGACTTTGCTGTGAAGTGCGACAATCGACTTTTTGAATTTCGATCCGAGAGTCGCACAAGTGGGCCTCAACGTTACTAC